AGTTATAAAAAAATGTGTCACCATTTCGTTTATTGAAATCATGTTAAATTTGTGAAGTATATATAATTACATGAATAATTTTCATTGGTCATAATCAAATGCATGGAAATACTGATCCAGACAGTTGGAAATGGATTCAAATTGTATTATTATTATTATTATGCCTATGAAATGTATTTAGTACACGACTATATTAAAATATAGATATTTATTTATGTCTTGTATGCCAGGAAAAAAGCTCAATAGCCAATCTTTAGTGAAAATTGTATGATAAATTATATATAAATTGTGTTGTAATTTGTTTGTCAGTTTGGCAAATTCGATTGACCAACTTGAACATGAGCAAAATCTTAGGAACTTTTTTTTCCTCACACGAAATTCTCGTTTGCACCGAGTCCTATTAAAATTATTTTGCCCACAAAATTTCGCAGAGCATGCAGCAGGAGATGCGACTGCACCTTTGAAGTAGCATGACGATGTTAGCATGACTAAATTAAGTTTATTCATATTATTTTAAATATAGAAATTTGTTTAATTGTTCATCTCATGCTGTGTCGTGCATGTTACTTCCATGTTAGCCTTTCCTCAAGGGTGCTTGTATTGTGTGCCACAGCTGTCTAACACTGTAGTCAACACTGATGCCGTTCTGTTTATTTACTGCTTTAGCAATGCTTAAGGTTATCTGTGTACATAGTGTGTCTATTAATTCTGTAAAGAGGTGATATGATTCTGTGGCTATGAATGCTAAATTATGTTTCAGACTAATTGGGTGTTTGTTTTACAGCTCAGATTTGTGCCTCCCTAATTGGTTGATTCTTTAATTATTTCTAGCCTAATGTTTTCAGGAGTATTCACTGTGCGCACGTGCGTGTGTTCGAGTCAGTAGTGACCAACTGAGGAGTCTCTAGATAAGAGCTCGTCAAGCCTGTTCATTTAGAGTCATTATAAAGTATGTCCCTGTAATTCTTTGATGAATTGAGGATGATGGAAATTAAAAAAGCAACCATTGCATTGTGTTTACAGAGGCTGTTTGCCCATGTTTGGCCGTCGATAATGTTATATTACACAGAGCAGGACTCTGCATATAAAAAGCTGAATTAAAAGAGGAACAAGAGCTGGTGTGATTCAGCTAGTTTAAAGCACAAACAGTACTGGCCTTTTTGGACCCCAGTGATACACACTTCATCTGCAGTCATCTGTTTGCAGCTGAGCTAGCTATGCATTATGGTTAATGGTACAACTTTTATCAATTGTTTAAGACATTTTGTTTAGTTAGTGAATTAAAAATGAAACCAAACAATAGTTATGTTCCAAAATCTAGCTTACTTAGCAAAACCTGCTTAGCTAGGCAATGTTTTTGAGCTTTATCCTGAGGTGAAGCCAGCTTGAAACAATATGTAGCGTAATTATGTTGGCGTATAAGATAACACATGCTTTGTGGATAATAAGACAATCCCAGAACACGCTGTGACAAGAAAGTTTTAGAAAGGTTTGGCCTCTCTAAAGGCTAAAACCTATGGAGTCTATGGAAATATCAAATACTTTTTATTTGGAACTGAAACATTTTAATTCATACAAATATATAATCTTAAACTGATTGTTCACAAAATATTTGTGTGCTATATATGTGTATTTCTAGAGTATCAAGTCATTAGCCTAGCGTTGGTAACATCAGATACAATCATTATGTCTAACAGTCATTATGTCTAAATTGATTTTCAACAATAATGCATGAACTGTTCAAGACAAGTAAAAAAAAAAAAATCCTATGGCATTTTATTTAAAATACATTTATTGCATACTTCAAATCCATTATTTATTAACGTATCACTTAAGACTGATTAATATAAAATTATAATTAAATCGTTAAATTCTCTTTATTGTGCAATGCACATTTCTTAATATTATGCCTAAAATGTATTTGTCATACATTAATTTTTTGCTAAGTATACTACAAATACATTTACATATGTACAGTGGGTACGGAAAGTATTCAGACCCCCTTAAATTTTTCACTCTGTTATATTGCAGCCATTTGCTAAAATCATTTAAGTTAATTTTTTTTCCTCATTAATGTACACACAGCACCCCATATTGACAGAAAAACACAGAATTGTTGACATTTTTGCAGATTTATTAAAAAAGAAAAACTGAAATATCACATGGTCCTAAGTATTCAGACCCTTTGCTGTGACACTCATATATTTAACTCAGGTGCTGTCCATTTCTTCTGATCAGCCTTGAGATGGTTCTACACCTTCATTTGAGTCCAGCTGTGTTTGATTATACTGATTGGACTTGATTAGGAAAGCCACACACCTGTCTATATAAGACCTTACAGCTCACAGTGCATGTCAGAGCAAATGAGAATCATGAGGTCAAAGGAACTGCCTGAAGAGCTCAGAGACAGAA